CAAAGACCATATTTCCAGATAAGGGCATATTCACAGATATAAGTGTTAACACGTCAGCCTATCTCTTAAAAATCTCCAAAACCAAACTCACTGCCATCGAGTCCATTCCAACTCATAGTGACCCCATTGGGTTTCTGAGGCAGTAAATCTTTACAGAAGTAGATTGCCCCATCTTCCTTCTGCAGAGTGGCTGGTGAGTTTGAACTGCCAACCTTTTGGTTAGCAGTCAAATGCCTTAGGCACTATGCCACCAGAGCTCCTTAGCCTATCTCTTAGGTGGACACAATTCAACCCAATTCAGTAAAAGGTTCTGAAGTGAAAGCAGTGTGCTGCAGTGAGAAAAAACTTTGACCTTTGAGCCAGGGATCCCTGACCAGATTACCTGTAACTATTAAATGATATGACTTTGGCTGGGTCAGCAAACCTTAGGAATCTTATCCTTCTTCATCCCAGGTTAGATAAATGTCCTTTTCCTCTTCTGTAAAATTAGTTAGAGGATCTGACTTCTAAGTTCTCTTTCAGTTGTCTTCTCTTGGGGCAATTCATTAGGAGAAAAATAGCAGCTCCTCGACAGGGGCAGAAAAGTGTGTTTGAAAAATGGCAAGTAGAGGAGTTTTGCTGAATTATAGGCTACCCAGAAGGCAATGGTGATGGGTTACTGGAAGGGCTGCATCAGATCTTGGACAGAGAGCTCCTGAATGCCACTGTAAAGAGTATTGCTTTAGTCACTAGTCAAGGGAAGCCATTAAAGGTTTTGAGTAAGTGTCTAATAGTCTCATAGGAGCTCTGGTAGCATAGTGCCTAAGGCACTTGACTGCTAACCAGAAGGCTGGCAGTTCAAACCCACCAGCCACCCCTCAGAAGGAAGCTTGGGCATTCTACTTCCATAGTGATACTGCCTCAGAAACCCAAGGAGGGGTCACTGTGAGTCAGGTCTGACTCAACTGGCACATAACAACAACAACAATCTCATAGCTGGCCTGAGGCAAAGGTACACAGAGGGAGGGTGACAGCAGCTTCACCCCTGAACAAAGCCTTCAGGGCCCCTGAGTTAGGACTTTGTTATCAGAGTTCAAGAAAGAACTTGGAATAGGAGATAGAGATTTGAGACTCTTCCCTGGTAAGATTGGAACTATGTGAATAGATAAGATCTTCCATAGACAAAAGTAGGAAAGGGAGATAGGAAGACATCCAAGTGAGCCACCTGGTGGGAACTCCCAGGAGATGGCAGTATATCAAAGCAAGGCAAGAGCACAACAGAGGTTGAGGCCTGAGGAAACGGGCTGGATCAGGCTGTGTGGATCTCGCAAGCAACAAGCCATTTTCAAGATAGGGTGGGGGCAAGAATTTGATTACAGGCAGCTGAAAAATAGAATGGCGAGGAAGTAGAGTGTGTGGCTGTGGAAGGAAAAAGAAATAAAGATTAGATTAGATTACTGCTGGGATGTGCACATATTTTCTGAGGTCAGAGGAGGATGCATTGAAGAGGGAAAGATTGAAGATGTTAGGGCTGAATAATATCAGGAGAAGAGGGAGAGGATATAGAGGGAGTCATTAGGAAGGAAGAGAGGCTGGAGAAGGATCACATGGTTGGAGGCAGAGAGAGGTGAGAATTGAGAACATCGTATCTATTTTCCTGTATTTTTTTTAGTAACATTGGAGCTTGGATTATCTGACATGAAAGTAAACATGGAGGAACAGAAGCCTGAAAGAGAATGAAGGAGGCTTGGGGAAGCATCTGTGGATTGGGCATGAGCGCTGCACAGCCTCTGTTCATCCTTTAAGAAGAAAGTAGGATGCAGTACCCTAAGCCCAGTAACACTTGTTGATGGACATAGGTGGAAGCTATGTCTCCAGTTACGTATCTGCTAACAGGGCTTCTCTCAGAGAGCTGACCACATCTCTGTGTGTGTCCCCACGTTCTCTCAGTTGAGCTGAATTATGTTCAAAGAAAATGATAGCATGATCTGTAAGAGCCAACTGACAAGTTTCAACTTGTCTGCTTTCAAACATAAGCCTGTCCTTTTCTACTTGCAATTAAGTTTTTCTCACAAGTTATGTGTAGTAATTTCAAACATGTTAATTATCAGTGCTATAATTGGGAGGTTTCCCTGTTTTCTGGTTCAAGTCAGTGCCAGTTTCATTGCTTTTAGCTAAGTACTAACTTCTCTTAAAAGAGAAAATGTTCACTGTGCAATATGGTTTAACTATTAAATAACTGGGGGATTAAGCAATAGGCAGAGCCAATGGTAGGCTTCAGCACAGGCAAAATCTCTATTCAGAACTCACCCTAAACAGCATCATCCTCACCTTTCATGATCATCACACTCCTGATCCTTTTCTCATCTCTGCCACTGGTTTGCATGTTATAGAATTAATCGATGATTTTTATTGTTGTTATCACAAGCGGTATGAACACTTATTTAAATAGTTTAGGTTTAAAAAGAAAAATAATAAAAATAATTTATTGGCTCAGGTAACTGGGGATACACAATGCTAGGTTGGCTTCAAGCAAGTCTGGATCCCAGAGTTGGTTTAGACAGTGTTGTCAGGACTTCTCTCTCCAGCTCTTCACGCTGTTTCCCTTCATTGTCATTGCAGCCTCAAACCAGCATCTTTAGAATTTGGAATCCCGAGAGCCTATCTTCCAATTTCTATACGCCAAATTCAGGGAAGCTTCTGGCATGTGTCCATCCCTGAACCAGTCACCATAGTCTGAGAGATGGAGGACTCTGGCCAGCTTAGGTCACACATCCACCTGGGTAGGGGTAACAAGCCATCTTAAGGCTCACCAGGATCACTTGGAGGAGGTATTTCCCCAATGGGAAAACTGCAAAAGAAGAGAGAAGGAATGCAGAGTAGATAAAAACAACAGAAGTCACTACAGATACCATAGCACACAGCCTAAACAGCAAGAACGAAGACAGCTGTTCCAGACTGTGGTCTTTTGGGAAGGCTCAACATTTGTTGTTGCACATGGTCTTCCCTTGATTGACTTCTAGATTAAAGCTATGCACCTTCCCCTAGGGTTTGACTTAGCAGAAGGTTATACAAAGTGACTGTAGGAGGAATACACAAAATTCCCAATGCTCATCTAAAGTCATCTATTTTTCTAGGGCCTACACATTGACTTGACTTGGTTCCAATAAACAGGTTTGGCTCAGCAGTCATCTGGTTTCAGTAATACCAGAAACTACAAGAAGGAGTGTAGGTATTCAAGTTCTAACTAAAAGTAGGAAATGCAGAGATTAGTGAAGTTAATACATATAAAAAGGATGATGCTGAGAGAAGAGGGCACAGAAACACAGGTGTTGATGGACATACCCTGACACAGCCAGGGGTTGTTGTTCGTCAGCTCCTTCATTCACAGAGGTGGGCTGTCTTGACTCACCTGCCCTCCTTACCCACCACACCCAGCTCTAAGTGGTTCCACAGAATTGCCTCAGAAACTTATTCTAAAGACTGTTTTCCTTATCATATTACCACCACTCCTCTAGACTAAATCTTGATGACAATTTCCATGATAACAAAAACAATGAGCACACTTAAATGAGACCCTGGTCCAATTAAAGCAATGTTTTGCCACTATTTTAAAACCACAGTGATGTGAGAGTGACTAGCCTCTAGCATTCTCTGATGTATAGCCAGTCTGCTCATCACATCAAAAAACCCCTTAATCTCTTTATCTTTATATAAGTGTGGTTGAAAATAGATCCAGTAAATCTGAGATAAGCTTTATTTAAAAAAAAAAAAAAAAAAAAAGCCTTCACTTACTAATTATTATCACATACATATTTGAGGAAAACCTGTTGATTTACTTAATAAGACAGTGTCAGAATTGCCATATAGTTCAGAAAAAATACATACATCATGATTTTCCTTCTCTTCATCACTTATAACAAAATGCTTGTAGTTTTCAAGTGATGATTAAATACCCCAACGAGCCACAGTTCAATCCGTCCTTGTATGATTTCAGATAGTAATGATCTGTTCTACTTATATTCAGTGTTCAGTGTGCATATTATAAGGATGGTCCTTTTTAAAATTTTTCTTTTAAATGTGAAGTTTCATTGTGCTTTCTTTTATCCCTTTGTGTGTGTGTGTGTGTGTGTGTGTGGAGCTGGGAAGAGTATCTCCCTGACTACACTCTGAAGTGAGCATTATCAGTATTTTAACTTTATAGATGAGAAAACAGGCCTAGAGGGGTCAAGGTCTATCTAAGTCCCAGATCAAGTAAGGGGTCACATTATGACTTTCCCCAATCCTATGCTCTCTCCATTTCTCGAGAGATAGGTCTGTGGCCTACGAAACTCACCCTCTGGGTCATTCCTTGATTTTCCCAGTACCCCTTTTACTCTCTCATGTTCTGCCTTCAAGAAAACCAGACCCAGCTTTCCTTCACTTCATGCAACTGTGTTTCAGCAAAGGGAAAAGAAGCAAGGATGCCATCCTTAGTCAAGCCAGTTTCCTGACATCCTTCGCTGGCCTCCCCCCCAGCCAGTCAGGGTGTGGTAAGCATTCTTGCCCCCCTGGGCAGCAGGGCAGGCTGCCACAAGGTGTGTTGGTGGTTCTAGCCCAGGCAATGTAGATTGAAGGCTTGTTGTGTGGGAAGATTCAGGAAGCTGTACAAACAAGGAACTAAGATCTCCAACATGCTTTCAATACTGGCTTTGTTTTGTGTCTGAAAAATGCTTTGGTAAATTTGCTTTTACATTAAGAAAAAGCCAAAACCCTAGAGTGTTTGTGGAAAATATTTAAATGTAACTCTAAAGACCCTCAGAGACTGGGCTTCCTTTGAGGGAGGGTGAGGGAGAATGGGGCTAGAAATTTAATTCTGCAATCTGTGCAGAGGGCCTTAATAAGATTAATTTATTTCTTGATTCACTTTCTCTTAAATCTAGCTGTCACCCAGCCCATCCGGTCCTAGCCCCCCTTAGCATTTTTCTCCAGGTGGTGTGGGGCCTCTGTGATGGTGTGTTTTGTGCTGTTACTTTCATCAGCTTGCCTGGGCCCCGTGGTAGGGACCACGGAACCTGAAGGTGCTGACAAAGATGACCTACTGCTGCTGAGTGAGATCTTCAGTGCTTCCTCTCTGGAAGAGGGCGAGTTCAGCAAAGAGTGGGCCGCTGTGTTTGGAGACGGCCGGCTGAAAGAGCCAGCTCCAGCTGTGGCCCCAGGAGACCCAGACCCCAAGTCCCAGGCAGGCTCAGGATTTCTCCCTTCGCAGCTTTTAGACCAAAATATGAAAGACTTGCAGGCCTCACTTCAAGGTATGTACTGCTCTTGGGATTGAAATGTTTTGTTTTTTTTTTTTTTCCTTGTCTTTTGTTTTTCTCCATCCAAAGCCACATTTTTTCCTTGTTTGTCTTTTTTTTTTTTTTTTCAGTATTTTATTTTGCATCTGATGACCCTTCATTGGAAGCCTCAGAATCTCATTCCAGCTTTAAAAATTGTTGCAGGGTTTAAAATCTATTCTCATAATTTTCTCTCTGGATCAACATTTTCTGTTAGTCAGAGGTTGGAGCAGTGGCTTTCAATTTTGCTGTGTGTTTCTGATTTTAGATTTCTTTCACGGCATACTCTAGAAGATTAAATTGCCTTTGCAGTTATAGCCCTCTTTGCTTGGCTGTCCCTGCCGGGCCATTGCCCTGAGATCTTCATATACTCAAGAGGAAAAGTTACATAAACATACCTTCCTTGTTGGTGCTCATTGACATTACACTGTGAAACTCTGCTGGGCCTCTTAACTCTTTTTCACACTAAGTTTTATCTCACATCCACCCTTGCCCTGAGAATCCCCTCACCCAGCTGTTCCTGTTCCACCAGACACACATGGTAGCCTAGGTCACAGCAGAACTAGAGTTTCCTCATTGACCAAAATGGGTCAGCAACATTGGTCAGGGTTCAGGGTGCATAAAGCTTGCCAGCAGGTCGCTGGTTGAGAATTGCAGGTGTGGGGAGCACATTGGTTTAAAGTGCAAAACCAAAACTTGGGTTTAGATATAAATGTTTGGGTTTCTCAACAGATCTTGAGAATGAAACCATTTTCTAGTATTTGTTTTCAATACTTTTCCCCTCGTTTCTTGTCCCTTTAATTATAAGACAGGTATCACTGTTAAGAAATTTTCAAATTATTTTGGTTTGACTGCAAATTTAGGCTATCTCCTTAATAGACAATGTGTTTATCTGGCACTTAAAACCAAGAACAAACGGCAGAACTGGAATCATTAAGTAATTATGGGCTATTAAAACCTCAGATCTTTGGAGATGAGATCATGAACTTAGCAAGAAGTTGGTGGAAAGGCAATAAATAAATAAAAGTCTTCCCTCTTTTTTATGAAATACATGACTCCTTTTATCTGCCTGAGTCCTATTTTGCACCCAACTCATTTAGGTAGTAATACAGTTTAGAGATAGCAGGGGTCAATGAGATCCAAAAATATTTCTTCGCCCTGGGTTTCATTGTATCAGTCACTGAAGGGACAGATGAGCAATGCTGCCAACAGACTTCGGTTTCACCTCACCCATCCCATGTTGGAGGTAGTAACAAGTTATGAGGAGTCAGAAGGTGGGGAGCCTGGTGTCCACAAGCAGTGTCTTGGTTGCTGAAGACCCTCCAGCAGAGCTGCAGAATGAACTCCAGTTCAAGCTGGTCCCTGGCTTTGAAGACCCAGAATCCTGCTGCAGACAGGGAGTGTGGCATAGTGTTCCTGCTTGGCTGGGTGGCTAAGTGTCAGTTGGTGTGAGTGCCCCGTGGTGACAGCTGAGAAGCCAGAGCTCCACGCCCTCTTCCTGATCAGGCCAAGTGAGAAGAGCTCAGCTCAGGGCACATGGCAGGGCCCTGAAACTAGACCCAAGAGCTACAGACAAGAGTGGTGGCTGTGAGGCTTGGCACTTCATCCTCCCCCCGAGTCCAAGAAGGCACAAAACCACACTTGGGTCTAATGAAAGAGATGTTCCGATAGTGCAGAGAAATGCAAGCTCCTGTGATGGGAAGAGAAAGAGATACAGCAAAGGGAGGCCATTTATTTCTCAGGAAAAGAAAATCTCACTTCAAGTTGGCATCTTATTAGCACTTTAGTAAGTTTCTGCCATTCATTCAATAAATATTTATTGGGTCCTTCTGTGTACCTAGGGAGTCATCTGAGACCAAACAGACAAGTCTCTGCCCTCTTGGAACTCACATTCTAAGAGAGAAGAGACAGTCATTGAACAATAAACATAATAAATATATAGTAGGTTAAAAAATAATCAATGTCACGGGGGGGGGGAGAGTCCAGGGAGAGGGAGTGTTGGGGATGGCAGGGGAGGTGAGACTGTAAGTTTAAATAGGGTGGTGTAGTGCTTAAGGCATTTGACTGCTAACCAGAACATTGGTGGTTCAAACTCACCAGACACTCCGTAGAAGGAAGATTGGGCAATCTACTTCCGTAAAGATTTACCACCTCAGAAACCCAAAGGGGGTCACTATGAGTTGGAATCAACTCGATGGCAATGAGTTTTTGATTTGGTTTTCTTAGGAAGATGCGATTGAGCAAAGATTTGCAAGAAGTGAGAGAATTAGCCGTTTGGCTCTCTGAGCATGGGAGCAACCTGTGCAAATAGGCCCTAAGGTGTGAGCCTGCTTGGTGTGGCCAAGTGTCTGCAGGAAACAATGTGGTTGGAGCCAGCTGATCAAGAGGGAGAGGCGGTCAGAGAAAACACAGAGGGCTGAGGGACATACCCATTGGGAAAACATGGGCCTTTTTTCAGAGTGAAATTAGGAGCCATTGAAGTGTCTTGCACAAGGAGTGACATGTTCTGATTTACTATTTAAAAGGAACATTCTGGTATCTGAAATTTTCCTTTCTTTGCTGTGCTGGAGTTCCATCAAGATCAATGTTAAAAGAGTTACTTTGTAATCCTTGAGTTATCCTATTTCTTTTACATGCAATCAGATACAAGTTGAATGTCCGTGGAACTCAAAATGACGGGAAAAAGATGTGCTTAGGTAGTTGGAAGAGAAAACCAGTCAGCTTCTACCACTCCTGCAGCTTTCCTGCAGGAGTGCTCACCATTCCTCCACTGATGGTGTCCTCGTTTGGGGAACCTCAAAATACACGTGGGCAAACATAAGCTTCCTTCTTTGATGATTGATTTGTCGTTGTTGTGTGCCATCAAGTCAGACCCAACTCATAGCGACCCCTCCTTGGGTTTCTGAGGCAGCATCACTATGGAAGTAGATTGCCCAACCTTCCTTCCAAGGAGTGGCTGATGGGTTTGAACCACCAACCTTCTGGTTAGCAGTCAAGTGCCTTAGGCACTACACTACCAGAGCTCCTTGATGATTGATTGTTGTTGTTGTTGTTATGTGCCATCGAGTCAGCCCTGACTCATAGCGACCCCTCCTTGGGTTTCCGAGGCAGTATCACTACGGAAGTAGGATTGCCCAAATGATTGATTAGGTAATAAAATTCGAACCATATTCTATTAATTTAAACTAGCTTTTGTCAGGATTCCTTCCCTCCCCTCCCCCTCCCCTCAACACTAAAAAAGAGGAAAGGATAATGTTGGCCCTAGATTCTTTCCACTGCGTTCATGGTCTAGAAAATAGAATACACATATTCAAAAAGAATTTCTGAATAACTTTTAAACTTTGCTACCTTGTAATAAATCTGCTTCCCTGATATCCATACTATCTCAGAAACCAAATTAAGTAAACCACTGACATAATTAGTCAAATTAAATGTGGCCTAGAAAGGTTCATTGACATGTTTCCTCAGTGGAAGAAACAGTTCAGAGAACAGGCTTTAGCCTGCAGACCTCCCCTTCCCCTCCCTGACTACACCAGTGGGTCAGACCTTTACTTATGCTGGGCCTTTACTTTCTCATCTGCAAAACAAAGTATTAGATTCACTACTCTGCCAGGAGAGACCCAAATCATTCAAAGCAGTTTCTTCCATCCTTCCACAAATGAGTGTTGTTGTCTTATCCCTGGGCTACATCCACTTCACAGATGCTGAAAGGAAGTGAGGTGTAGCCCCAGAATTCCGTGAAAATTTGAAGAAGTTAATTTTAGCTGGGATTTCATGGATTTTAAAACATTAGCCCGCACTCAGTATGGCATACATGATGTGCTAGGCGTGTTCTGTATGCTTTTTACTGTGTTATGTTACTTAATCCTCACCATGACCTTCCCCAGCAGGTATTATTATTATTTCCATTATATACCCTGGGAAACTGAGACACAGAGAGGCTTAGTAATTTGCCCAAGGTCACACTGTAAGGGTCAGGCTGGATTCTGAACCTGCACATTCTCACTCAGGAACCTGTGCCTTTACCCTTACTATGTTCTCCTGCTTCTCAGCAAGCTGTGTTTGCTAGAAAAAGAGATTCCCCAACTCTTTGGAGACTCCATCCAACTTCTCCTTTGAGAAGAAGAACAGTAATGATGAGCCTGGCCTTGGGCATCATGGTCACATACAGGATAGGGATGCTAGGTCGTCTTGGAGGAGGAATGTGGGTGTGAGGAGACATGGTCCCTCTCTACCACAAAAGTTGAACTGTGCTCCAAAACAGAATATCTGACATTGAGATTACCTTATGAAATTTTCATTGCTTGTGGACACGCTAGCACATGCACACTCAATCTCACCATTGACCTAGGTCTTCATGAGGAGCAGGACCCACACCCTCCATGGTGTCAGAGGACTTAGAGCAGATGTTCCACCCCACCTCCATGGCTCCCTCAGCTGCCTTCCTCTCCCCACCCCATCTCTCTCTCTTCCTTCCTCATCTCTCCAGTCTTCTCCTTTCCTTCTCCCCTCCATGCTCCCCTGCCTGCCTGCCTGCCTCTCTCCGTTGGCCCCTCTCCTCATTCTGTGCCTCAGTCCTCTGGGAGAATGGAAGTGGAGGGGGATTTAGGAAGAGAATAGTCACATCTTCCTTCCTCGCTACTTCAGAGCAAAACAAAGGAACCTGTATGTAGGATCAAGTTGTGTGAAAGTTTGAAGGAGGAGTTAATTTTAGCAGGGATTTCTAAGTTTCTGAAGTTATCAGCATGATAGGGGCTGGGGTTTCCTGTGTCATGCAGTGATGAGAAAATTGTACCTTCCTGAGGCCTCTTAAAGTGAGTGGGAGGGAGCCAGCCAGCAGGGCTGCCTGAGTTACAGACTAGGTAAGGCAGATAGGCCTCATAGTCAACATTTTTCTCTATTCTCCATCGATATTGAAATTTTCATTTAGAAATAGACTCTTATACTGAAAAGAGTATCAGCTGCTCAGAATAAAT